TTTTACGTACTTTACAAATATATAAATTTCATTTCAAAAAAATTACATGCGCAAATTTTCGATCAAACTTAAACTGTTTGACTCTCGAAAAATAAAAAACATCACATAAATTGAAACAGAGAGTAATAAATATTTGACTGTCCACCTATTTATTATTTTATATTAACTTAAAATTATTATAAGAATTCATAAATTTTAACTTTTGAAGGATAAAAAAGAGATTTTGTGATGGCAACAATGGAACCATTTCTTCAAGTAATCAACTCTCCAAATATCTTGGCTAAATTTTCGCATTTCACTATCAATTTTGTCACTTTTTAATTTTAGGTATTGATACACTCCTTCAAGACTTGAATTAATCGTGTGTACCTTACTTCAAAAGTGGAAAGAAAATGACGTGTGATGAATTTTTGTTTAGCTTCATAATTTAAAATGTATATAGACATTTCAATAAATAACATAGATAAATTCACCATCTAATTAGGTGTAAAAGCCAGTGCATCTATGTGATCATTTTTTTTAGAGTACCAAAATCATTATACGGATGTCTCATAAAGTTATATTGATGTAAATAGATGTAATTATTAAGGCTAGGTGTCTGTCTAATATTAAACGTAGATATATAGTACATATAATTCTAATTTTATCACACGTCTCCAAAGGTCAACCTAATTTGTACTACAACTTTCGAATAGTGTAAGTGCTTAATAGCACTACTAAAAAATTACTTATTTTTTTCATTGAACTTTTTCGGAAAAAATGTTCGTTTTTCTCATAATATTTTAATTGAATTATTGAAAAATAAAAATACTAGTTTCCCACAAAAAAAAAAAAGGAAGTCTTTCAACATTTTAGTGAGAATTTATTTTAATTTCCACCATAATTTTTCTTACTGAATTGATTGGATGAAAATAGGATGATTTTTTTTTTTCATATATAACATAAACTTCTCATCTATTCGTGTTGGAAAAAGACTTTGTTTCTAGTATGTTAGAAACACCCTTAAATTTAGGTGTCTGAATAAAAATTGTGTCTGCATATATTTAACCTATTATTTTTATAGAGACTAATTACTGTTGTTGAATTACCTAGTATTACTTAATACTTAAGTAACCAATAGTGTACAAAATAAATACATTGTTTAGTGCATAACTTAACACTAGTATAATTACTTCCAATTTGAAACAAGCACAAAAAGAAAGAGAGTAAATATGATCAATAATAATAATATTGACACAGAGAAATACAGTTACAAGTTACAATATATTAATGGAAAGCAAGTATGATTTATATATAAGTTTTGTGTGAGAAAAATCTTTTGTCCAAATTATTTTGCTATTTAAAAATAATATTTTAAATAATTTTTTGTTGCTTAAGTATGAAATTAAAATAGGTGACTTATATTAATTAACAGTAAATCTTGGTACTTGCTAATAAATTAATTTGAGTATTATCGTTGACAATATTTACTGCTTGATGAAAAAACTCAGAACAAATTAAAGATGAGATGAGCAAAAAATAAATAGATAAAAAGAATTAAGTCATACCAAACACACCCTACAATACATAAGCACTAATATTTCTCTGGATAGCTAAAATAACATTGGGCATTATCAAAAAAGTAAAAATTGTGTCAATTCTGTGTTAGTAATCTTCTAATATGTGTGTGACGTACTGCAGGACTAAAAAATTAATTATCTGAACCTGTATAATATGTCTAAATCATGTTAATTTATTAGGATTAAGTGATCAATCAAGGTAAGAATACGTACTGATCAATCATATTCAAGTGATGAATATAAATTAGAATGCGTATCGTGATTGTTTTTAGCACAATTTTGTTTTAACAAAGGTGGAAGAAGTTTATATATCACATGAACAACTTGTTCTTGTCTTTAGAAATGACGTTTTCATTAGTAAGAAGTGCTAAAATTTCTTATAATAGATATTTTATCCTCTTCTTGTCAATGGAAATGACGTTTTCATTGGTAAGAAATGCTAAAATTTCTCACAATAGATATTTTATCACGCGAATTTGAATGAGTCAAGAGCAATAGTTTATCGCACCCCGTATAGTTAGAGAAAAGAAAACAATAATACATATATTTAGAGTATCAAATGAATGAAATGAGCTGAATTTGAGAATGTCAAAATGAATTGAGTTAATAAATGAGTGGGTCACTGACCGACTTAAAATGTTAATTGGTCTAAAGCAGATCAAATTGAAATGAGCTAAAATTTGAGTCATAAGTTCCTAACCTGGTCAATTTTTACTAAGTTTTTATTCAAAGTTTGTTTGACTACCTAATAGAACATTTTTCCTTGTATTATGACTAAAAACATATCAAATAATAAAAAGTTTCTTTAAAATATTTAGACAAATTTTTTTCATCTGTCAATCTGAACGACATATCAGTCCAATTTTAAAATGGACTAAACTAAGCAGATAAAAATAAGCTCAATATAAAAATAAGTGAATTATTAACTCCCTTGAATTAGTGGTGTTCGTGGTTCGATTTGGATCGGTTACTGATTAAAATCAACATCAAATCAATTTAGTCAATTTTTAAAATCAAACCAAATGAAAAAAATAATCGTCGGTTTGGTTTAATTTTTCTGGTTATCCGGTTTGAAAATAATAGTAATTTTTTTGAGGACTTAAGTTGGTAGACACAAACATCTAGCACATGAACAATCCACAGAAAAGCTATTGTCGGTTATTAAGCAATTAAGCAATACTAGAGTTATCATTACACGAACAAAGTGTTTCAATTAAGAGAAAGTGTGATTATTTTATGTGAAGTAGGGTAGGTAAAGACTAAAATGAATTTTAATGGACTTGGACTTAGGATTGTTATAGTTGGGCTTGAGAAAAATTGTAAAGTTAAAAACTTAAGTTAATTAAAATTTAATAAAATATTTATATTTTATTTGTGAATAATAAATAAATAATTATAAAAGTTATATATCTAATTTATCGGTTCGGTTTGATTATTTTTGCGGTTTTTTTTAGTAAACCAAAAACCAAACCAAATAATATCGATTTTCAGAATTTAAAACCAAACCCAATCAAATATCGATTTTTTTAATTTGTTTGGTTCGAATTGCGGTTCGGTTTGGCATTTTAACCATAACCATGGACAGCCCTAGCTCGAACAAAACAAATTGAACATATTATAATTTTATGAGCTGATTTTGACATTCCTACGTGCATTCAAAAGTTGTTGTCATGTGACCAAAAAATCACGAGTTCAAGTCTTGGAAACAGTCTCTTGCTAAAATATAAGATAAGGATATCTAGAATAGGCCCTTGTGGTTGGACCCCTCCCCGAACCCTATGCACATCGGAAGCTTTAATGCACCAAAATACCTTTTTTTTACGGGTATTCACAAATCACAAGAAACGTTGGAAGACCACCCCCGAGTTCCTATCCAAGAACTATGTGACAAGATGTCATTTGGAGTCTTGATTAGCAATATATGCAAGCGTAATTAACTTCAATTATCATGTGATTAGGTCATCCAAAAAAGAAACACAAAGATACAAAAAGAATGAATACAAAATAATAGAAGATTGAGATGATAATTAATGGTGACACAAGAATCTCATCCTTTCACGCTTTGTTTACGAGGTACTAGTAAACATCAATAGATAGCAGCAACCTAAGGGATGTTTACGTCATCTCAACTCTATCTAATCAAATACATTAGCTAAGGAGTCATTTGATTTGTTGGGATTAAATATATCGAGATTAGCTATGCTGATATTATTTTTCATTAATGGTTTAGTTTATTATATTAAAACATAATAATTTCTTAAAAGAAGATCATTTATAAAAATACTCTCTAACTTATTTAGCAAAAAAGAAATTTGAGAGACTTTAGAGACACTTCTATTAATTAAAAAAAGAAATATTTTTATCATTTCATTGTATTATCTCAATATTATTGTTTCACCTTTTGATAGAACTAATTAATTCCAATACAAATTTCTAATCATAACATAATTTATCTCAAATTAGTAGTCAAACAAGAAATAGGACAATATTAATTTTTATTTCAAAACTATCTATGTCTGTCCAACATATCAAACCATCACGTACACTTATAATCCACCAAAATGTGGATAAAACCTAAACTATGTTAGGATTAAGACTAACACAATTCTCTATTAATTTAAACCAAAACTTCATTTTTTAAAATTATTAATACAACAAAAGTTGACCATTTTGGATCTACTAGGATAACGTAACAGATGGATTCACTATAAGATAAAAGCATTGGTCCACATAAAGGAACAAGTATTCACAAAAAATAAAAGTAGTTAAGAGTCACAAAGATAATCAACACTATTAAAATTGTCAGAGGTAATTGAATGTGATGGTAACTTGCAAAGCTAAAAAATAAAGAAGAATAGACAACACCACAAGTTGGATGATTTCTACAATATTCTTTTGTATGTAATCAAAAAAATGACAAAAACATTTCTGATTTGTAGGGTATCAAACCATGAATAATGAAAATAAACCATTTATCCTTCAGGACAAAACCTATGCATATGTCCTCCTTTTTTTTTTCCCTTCATAATACACAAGCATATCATTTAATTTAACCTCTATGATATCTATATCCTTCAATTCAACGTACATAATACACATTTAAATTTAGCATAAAATTAAATAAATAAACACACACCATCTATGTGACATAAACGCCACATAAAACACATATGTCTACTCGTTTGATAATGATAATATACAAATTTAAGTGTAACCTATGCACACCCAAAGTTGAATGACATAAATATCAGTTAAGGCCAAGTTAAATAATATGTTTATGTATTAATACCTACTTTCTAACAAAATATTCTATATTCAAAACTCAAACCTGAAATTTCTAATTATGATTAAGGATAAAGAAATCATATCCATCTTATCTCTTCTAAATGCAAAAAATACAAGAAAATCAAAAACCAAAATCCCAAAAAGAAAAGAAAACAAAAAATAATACGATTCTTCTTTAATTTTTTTCAAAAAAATATGTAAAATAAAAAACAAAAGTAAAAAAGGGAAGAAGTATGAAAATTAGCTAGAAGAAGGTGGGTAGTGGCCGGAGCTAGTCCAAAAAGGTGGAGGAAAATTGGAGCTGCTGCTGCTATTGCTACTGTTATTGCCTTGATTTTGATGAGTTTGTGGCTGATAGAAGCGTGATTGTTGAGCAGAGTAAAACAGGGGATATGCAGGGGAAGTAGTGGAAGAAGCTGCAGAAGTTGCTAATGAAGAAGATGATGAAGAAGGAAATGTATGTGAATGCAACACTCCCAATGATGAAGCTAATAACATTTGTTCTAACAAAGATGATGATTGTTGTCCTCCATGGAAATCTATTGGATTTTGAAGTAATTGTGAGTATTCCCAATAATCTCTAGCCATATCTGAGCTCTGAAAAAGCTGTTGCTGCTGAGGTTGATGCGGAGGTTGATTATATGATTGAAAAAATGGTGATGGTGATCGCATTGATGCTGCAGACATTAATTGGAACCGCGAAGCTGCTGGTGCTGGTGCTGGTGCTGGTGCTGCGGTTGATGATGAGGTTGAAATGGCTAATCTTGTTGTGGGCTGTTGTTGTTGTTGTGGTAATAATCGGACGTTTTCAGGGAAATTGAGTTTAGCTTTGTTTCCTCTGAATCTAAGAGCGGCGTCATCATAAGCTTTAGCGGCTGCTTCTGCTGTATCAAATGTGCCTAACCAAACTCTTGCTGCTTTGTGTGGATCTCTTATCTCTGCTGCCCATTTCCCCCATGGTCTCTGTCTTACTCCTCTGTATCTCCTCTTCCTCTCCCCTGTTTCTTCACCTGTTACTTCCGCTGGTGTCTGCGCTGCAGTGGTTGATACGCTGCTCGTTTGTGGTGCTGCCAGGCTTGTATCTTCTTCTGGAAGCAACAATTAGAAGATGATATTGAATCAAAATCAAGTTTTACAGATTCAAAATCAATCAAATACAAAATAAAGAAAGCAGGGCATAAATCCCTTCTATGGGTCCAAAACAGAGAACAACAAACCGAACTAGAAAACAATTTGAAATTTGAGAGAAAAAAAAAAGAGAAAGATTCTTGAAATGAACCCAAAATATTAGCTCGTTGGATACACTTATATCGGGTGAAAACGGTGTCATAGGCACGCCTCAAGCGTTCCCGTGATTTCCCAATATTTCCAACAAAAAAGAATGGAAGAGAGTTTAATAAGTGGAAAGTATTGATACGAACCGAGCTTAACAGAGGAAGATGGTTCTCCATTTTTAAATTCTCTAATACCTCCATAACCCCTTTGAGCTTGTTCTCCAGTAACACTTTCTTCTTGATCGCGTCTTCTTTTCTGTCCAGCCCATGATCCTGAACTCGAAGAAGACGGTGAATTAGCCGAATAAATACTCCCCGAACCACCACCACCAACAAACGAAGTCGTAACACCGCTAATATCCGGCCTGTAACCCCACTCTCCCTCTCTCCGACCCGAAACCACGTGTGTTAACGCTGTCACCATTGCCGACATATCCCTCGACTGACTATACCCTGTATACATCGGATTAGCCGATTCCGACATCAAATACTCTGTTTCTTGCTGTATTTGTTGCTGTAACATTTCTTCAAAAGATTGCGATTGTTCATACGGTTGAGGAATTCCTTCATTGGTTGTAGTTTCTGAATCACCTGCTGTCGACAGAATTCTGTCATGCTCGCCGGAATCTCCTTGATTCGCCACCTTTAATAACCACATATACTACTACTAACACACCTCAATTTTTTCAAGAAATATGGACACCCTTTTCACCTTTTCATTGAAAAAGAAAATGAAAAACACTTTATAATAATAACGAATCCAAAATCACCGACTTTGAAAATCTTAGTGAATTGATAGGTTAATTAATTGAGTACTCAATTCATCAGCTATTTCTCAAGATGTGTGTTAAAGAGAAGATCTTGTGATCGGACAAAAATTTCACTTTCCAGCTGACAATACAGAGACGGGGGATTTATAAGGAGGAGGAAAGTTTATACTTGAACAGCCGTCAGAACTACAGTTGATGGAGTATCTAATTTTCGAGTTACTTTTCTTCTTATAGATTTGCACAAATTTTTAATGTTAATCACTTCCCAATTTACATTTCATTTACTTCCTTCTATATTAGGTGATCACTTTTTATTTTGCATCATATCTAAGAAAATATAAATAAAATGACCATTTATTAATTTACCTTTAAAATATCTTTTGACAATTTTACAAACAAATATGAATACTTTAAAAAAAATTAATTGCAAGAGTAATATAAAAAATATAAGGTATAACTATTTTTAATATAATTATCAATTAATAAAGACAGAAGGAGTACTTGTTTGTTTTAATATTAAATTATTTTATAAAATAATATAAATTTAATTTAATTTTTTTTTGATAATTTAGTAAAATAAACTTCTAAGTAAAAAAAATTAAAGATGTAGATCTACATGCTTCAAATAAGATGAAATAGAGGAAGTACTTCTCTTTTTTAAAATTTTTTTTTTTATCTCATTTCGATTCAACTAAACTAAAAAAAAGAAAAAAAATGAATTATGTGATTTTAATTTTAAACTATATAGAATGTATTAGATGTTTTTAAACTTTTTAAATATGTCATCGTAAAAAATTAAAATTAAAATTAAAATTAAAGAATTACAAAAAATCTTTTTAAAATGGATAAAGTATAATAATGATAAGTTAAAATGAATAGAATAGTAACTAAGAACATGCATAAATACATATCCTCCATTTTATTTGATGAGTCTTGGGTACTAAGTTTTATGTAGTGTCAGTGAGACTTTTGAATTTTAGATTAAAAATATTAATTTTTTAAAATAATTTTAAACAAGTAATATGCTACGATAAAGATAAAATTCTATATAAATATGATCTCTTTTTATTTTTTAAAAGTAGATTAATACAAAAATTAAGGCATATAAATTAAATGTAATTAACAGCACTACTTCCTCAACTATTGATAAGCTCTTATTTAGAACATTTTAAATTTATTATTTCTTTATTTAATTATCGATAAATTACATTAAAATTTTACTGTTTACTTCATAATTTTTTAACAAGAATGTAATTGTTCTTTAAATATCTAAATATAACACATTTTAAAAGGACCATAATACCCATAAATTACAAATTGTGAATAAATGAGGGACCAAATTTATTATTTTATATTTCCCATTGAAAAGAAAAGAGTATTCATTTATTCCATTTTAAATCTATTTTAAAAGTACACCATAAATAATTTTAAAAAATATTTTGATGCTTGCTCAGAAAGAAAAACATGGAGTAGGCTAGCATGAAGTTATGTTCACACAGTTTGACTGATAATAATGGTGACATTATATGCATCTTTCGAATTGTCGGTTTATAGTAAGAGTTTATCTTCGACTTTACTTCTTTTCCTTTTCATTATTTATTTGGTGCTTCTTACCCAATATTAATTAGGTTCATTGAATTTCTTTTATACTATTAACATGGCAATAGTATACTGATGAAATTATTTCATTCTTAACTAAATGTTTCGATTTGAATTTTCTGTTTAGAAAATTTTTTGTTTGAAGCATCATGAATAAATGGATCCTACACTGAACTATTCAGATTTAATCGAAGTTCCAATACAAACTTTGGACACTAAATGGAAAATAAATAATAAAGAAAATTCCTTTTATACAAAATCTTTCAAATTAATATTCGATAGCTCGAATTATTCTTTATCCATACACATAATTTGAAATGAGATTATACATATATAATTCATAGATATCTAGTGGTTGTTTGGTATGTTGGACAAGTCTATATAGACTTGAGATGAAAATTTGATTGATGTTTGATTATAGAAATTAGGAACATGATTTTAAATCAGTATTTGTTTTATGAAATTTGTATAATATTTCAATTTCATATTAAGATTTTAAATCTAAAAAATCTTCAAAAGGTGGGATTTGGAAATATAAATTGTGGTTTCAATTCCTTTTAAATATAAAACTTGACGCATAAGTTTATATTTTACAAAAAAGTAAATTCATAATTTTATATCTTACTAAAGAAAAAGACTCATGCTTGATATAAAGAGATCGTCCATATGACGGGGAATATTTATATTATAGAATATCTAGTTACTACAATTGTTAAGTTGTACAACTAGTGAGTTTTTATAAAATTATATGTATTCGAAATCTGTAATAAAATATAATCACAAATGCTATTTTATAAAAATATATATAGAAATATGTGATTTATTAATTTGACATTTTACGATATTTCGATATCCTATTTATGATCTACAATTTACTCATTTGGTAAAATCGAGTAATAGTTGTGAAATTCGATAATTTTTTCAAATTATAAGGTTTCTTAAAATAAGTACAATTTAAAAAATTCAAATTACAGATCCAAATAAAATTTCAACTTTAGCTCAACTTAATTTTTAATCATTATTTGGAATTATGTCCAAGCAGTAGTAATGTCTTATTCTCTATTGTAGCACTTGTACTTGTCATAATACAAGGAGAAATAATAGTATTAAATTAGCTATCTCAATATAAAATAATAAAGATGACAAAAATATCCCTAAGCTCTCCTTTTCTATATTAGAATACCGCGGAGATTTTTATAATAAATAACTTCTACCTAAAAATTATATAACATGCGATTTTTAAATAATAACTAATAAGTTAAATAATCGCAATAGTTAATCTCAAAATAATTAATTTCTACATAAGATTATAACTTATTTTCAAACCAAACCATCCAAACCCGATAAGTGGATACAAGTACGAATCTTTACACTTTTGAAAATTGTGTTCCAAATATAATATTTATTGATTTTTTTTTTGAAAATATGAATTGAACTAAATAACTATAGTTTCCCTAGTCCCTACATCATTGATAATTAGCATTGTTTGCTTTGACTTCAGCTTTGGGTCCAAGTTCGATCTTGAAAAAATAATACATCAATTATTCTTTATATTGTTAAAAAATTGAATAAATATTAGGTTTGCAAAAATTACAAATTAAATATTGTTATTGTTAGCAATAAAACAAAGGGATAAGGGTCTGAAAAATATCCTAACTTTGGTCGAATTTGTTGTTGCGATACTAAACTTTCATGAGGACCTATTATCTCCCTAGACTATTTAATATCGTAGTTTAAACAAACATATATATTTGCCCACATGGACATAAAAAATAATGCAAAATTATAAATAGTAATGTGTCCATGTGGGCATATAGATACCTTTAAAATACATTATTAAATAGTTTAGGGGGTAAAAAATAGGTATTAAATAGTCTTAAGGAGGTAATAGGTCTTCATGAAAGTTTAGTATCGCAACAACAAATTCGATCAAAGTTGAATATTTTTCAGACCCTTATCCCTAAAACAAAAGATAATTATCTCCAGTCAAATCAAATAATTGGTAGTTATTTAAATGCTTGATTCTTTAGTTTGTATTTTGGAACTGTACTTCAACAAACACTTTTGAGTAACAAATTGAAGCTATATCTCATAATTTTCTAGGAAAAAGACAAAATAAATTAAAAGGAGATATATATGATTAGAAGATAGTATATTTTAATGATGTAGACGTTGAGAATAATATTTCTCCACGGTTATCCTCTATTTTGGTATATATAGTGACTTAAATATCACAGTAAAATTCAATAGCAAATCTATATTTTTGAGGATTAGAATTTAGATGCATTTTTTTTTTTGGATTTTATACGATTTATGATGAGTGTGTGGCAATAAAAATGATAAAGACTTTTCTTACACCAAATGATTAGACTATTTAATTCGATATATATCTAAATGTCTATCTTATATAAATCTTTTATTCATAATGTAATTTATTATTTTCCTCAATTTCAATTTATGTATTTAGTTCTATCCGACATGAAATCTAAGAAAATTAAAAAGATTTTTTAATTTTGTGATTTTGAGTAAAAAAATATGTATAATGTGTTAATTATTTTAAAATTTTTGTGATTTTAATTAATATGTTAGGTGGAACGTTAAGATAAAAAGTTACTAATTATAAAGAATTTCATAAGTATTGGTTAATGAATATTTGAGGATTTACTATACTAGTTATACACAATTACAAGGCGATATAACCAGCAAATCTTATAATTTTGAAAATGTATATCTAAAATAATTTTAATCGATAATAAACTCTTCTCCTCCATGTTTTCGTCGAAGTCTTCTACTTGCATTTTGTAAATTGAGAAATACATCACTTCTTGGTAGTAACGTATGGGTCGAGTAATTTTAATAGATCAATTGATTAGCTATGTGAATTTTCACTATACTGATAAAAGATTTTACCTGCCCCTATTTATATATCTTTAAGAAAAAAGGAAAAAAAACTTATTCGTGCTGTGGGATTGTTAAAGTTGGTTGACTCATCTTTATTGGTAGGAAAATATCTTAACATGGTAATAAGTTAATAACCACCTTTTGTATAAGAAGAAAGAAAAAAAAAGGATTATTACATTGCCAATATTGATTACGAGATCGAGTTGTTATCTCCATATATGATATTGAATAATCTGATATCTAATGAATTGATTTTTAACGTTAAGTTAAACAAAATATTCATTTTTCATCGTATAGTATTTGAAGTTACTAAGTTAGTCGTGTTTTTATGTTATTCAGTGTTACATCTCACGTAATGTTATCAAGGCTATATTATATAAGAATAATAATAATAATGTCATATATTATTATTATTCTTATATAATATAGTAACATATAATCTATGTAATTATTATTTATTGATAGAGATTTAAATTTTAATAACTTTTTTTTGGTGAGATTGTAAATAGTGAGTAAATAACTTATATTTTCCTCTCTCTTTAAACTAAATACTGCTATATTTAATACCTTCTCATTAATTAACTTCTAGTTTTT